AGAGTTTGAAATCAGATTTTCACTGCGCTTACGGGCAGTCCCTAGATTCCCTGAATTTTTCTCCGAAAACTGAAACACACTTCTTGTACCTGCACATGTCCCCAAAAAAAAACTCCAAATCAGACCGAGGGCCTATTCGACCAATTTTGAAATTCCGCCACAGTGGCTCCGCCGTGCTCCAAAAATAAGTTTACCTATTATTATTATTATTTCCCATTAAATTAAATTAAACTAAATTAGAACATTTATATTATTACTTAAATAAATAAATAAAAGAAAAAATTATAATAAAAATAAATTATAATAATTCTAATAATAATAACAAAAAAAAATTTGGGTGTTACAACTTTCCCCCCTTAAAGAAATTTGGTTCCCCAAATTTGCCTCTTACTCCTGGTTGAAGAAATGAGATATTGGCTCTAAAGTCTGATTCTAGCTCCCAAGTAGTCTCCTTGCATGTGTTCTGCCACACGACCTTTACAAATGATATTTTTAGTTGCGGAGTATTCTGCTCTTTCGGTCTGTGATACCGACTGGTACTTCCTCATAAGACAAGTCCTCTTGAAGTGGAAGCGGTTCATGAGCCAAGACATGAGAGGGGTCCGGGTTGTACTTACATAACATGGACACATGGAACACATTGTGGACCTTGGAGAGCTCTAGAGGCAGTGCTAGTCTGTAGGCGGCAATACCAATCCTATCTAAGACTTCAAATGGTCCAATAAATCAGGGGTTCAATTTTCTCCTCCTGCCGAACCTACTAATTTTCTTGAAAGGAGTGACCTTAAGGAACACCCGGTCGCCTTGCTCAAACGCTAAATCTCTCATTCAGGTGTCCGCATAACTCTTCTGCCTGCTCTGAGCTGTCTGAATGTTCTTTCTGATTTTAACTATTTTAGGCGTGGTCTCCTCTACCAACTCTAGGCCGAACAATTTTCTGTCGCCCACTTCTTCCCAAAAAATCAACGATCTGCATGGGCGCCCATATAACGCCTCATACGGAACCATACCAATGCTTGCTTAGTAGCTGTTATTGTCGGCAAATTCTATCAGGGGTAGATGGTCGTCCCAATGGCCCTCAAAGTCAAGGACACAAGCTCGGAACATATCCTCAAGTGTACGGATTGTCCTTTCTGATCGTCCATTAGTCTGAGGATGGAAGGCAGTACTGAGAGACAGCTTTGTTCCCATGGCCTGCTGAAAGCTACTCCAAAATCGAGAAGTGAACCTAGGGTCCCTGTCGGATACTACTGTTACTGGAACTCCATGCAATCTGACTATTTTCCGGATATACATTCTTGCCAACTTGTCCAAGGGATCGGTCATCCTGATGGCTAGGAAGTGGGAAGACTTGGTAAGCCGGTTAACAATTACCCAGATGGTGTTATGTCTTAAACGTGCCTTGGGTAATCCCATTACGAAGTCCATGGTGATATGTTCCCACTTTCACTCCGGGATCGATAAAGGCTGAGGTAACCCGCTTGGGCGTTGATGCTCTGCCTTGACCTGCTGGCATACCAAACATTTAGATACAAAGTCAGCTATGTCCCTCTTCATCCCATTCTACCAAAATCGGGGTCGCATGCTTTGGTACATTTTTGTGCTTCCGGGATGCATGACAAACTTCGAGCTATGGGACTCTGTCATGATGTCTCCCTTTAACTCACTGTCGTCTAGAACACACACCCTGTCCTGAAATCGGAGTAACCCATCGGCAGAGATTCGGAATTCTGAACTCACTCCCTGTTCTGCATCATTCTTGCGGGCTACTAGGGCATGGTCGACTGACTGGGCTTCCCTTATTCTCTGTATTAACTCGGGTTGGACGGTCAGACGGCCCAAACATGCGACTCTCTTCAGGTCCTGAAGCTGAACCTGTTGTGTGGCCCCAATTTGCCTGTATTCTGAAACCATCAAATGGGTTAAGATACTTGCACTTTCCTGCTGAGAGCATCTGCCACCACGTTGCCTTTACCCGGATGATACAAGATATCATAATCATAGTCTTTAAGGAGTTCCATCCACCTTCTCTGACGCATGTTGAGATCCTTTTGAGTGAATATGTGTTTTAAACTCTTATGATCGGTATAGATCTGAAAGGTCTTTCCGTATAAATAATGGCGCAAGGTTTTCAAGGCGTGTATGATTGCGACAACTTTCAAGTCATGGGTGGGGTAATTCTTCTCATGATTCTTTAACTGTCTGGACCCATAGGCTATGATCTTCCCATGTTGCATCAGGACACAACCCAGACCTAGATAAGAGGCATCACTATAAACTGTATATCCCCCCGATCAACTCGCTAAATCCAGTACAGGTGCAGTGGTCAGCTGCTCCTTTAATTCTGAAAAACTTCTCTCACAGTTCTCATTCCACTCAAACTTGACATTCTTCTTTGTGAGTCGGGTTAGGGGAGCCCCTAGACTAGAGAATCCTTCGACGAACCTGCGGTAATAACCTACAATTCTCAGGAAGCTACGGATCTCTTTAACTGATGTCAACTTCTCCCAGCCAAGTACTGCTTCAATATTTTCAGGATTCACTGATACTCCTTCCTTCGATATGATGTGTCATAGGAAGGCGGTCTGCTCAAGCAAGAATCCACACTTACTCAACTTTGCATATAGCTTCTTTTTTCTAAGGACCTGCAAAACTTGAGCTAGATAGTGAGCATGCTCTTCTCT